CTCCCCCCCCAGCCGACCTGGGGACGCGAGCTCAAAAAAGCTGGGCGCCGTGGACGCCCGAGTCCTCGCTGAGCGAGCAAACGAGAGAGCGAGGGCAGGACGGGGGAGGGGAGGAGACACCGAGGGTCCTAGTGGCCCGGTGCAAGGGGACCCCGGGGAGCCATCTGGGCGACGGGCAAGCGGGAGGGTGCACGGGCGGGGGCCGGGGAGGGGGCGCGGAGCCGGCCCGGGGCGGCGGCAGAGGGAGGCGACCAAGGGGCCGGGGAGGAAGGGACGTCAGGGGGAGGGGCGGGAGGGGCGGGGCTCAGGGAGACCCCGCCCCCGCTGCCGGCTCTTAAAGGTACAGGTCCGGGCCGGCTCGAGAGTTCTGGGGGCGGAGGCAGGTCTGGGCGCGCCGCTCTCCAGCAAGTTCTCACTGGAGAACCGGGAGTAACTGGCCAAGAGAAGGGCAGAGAGTTGCTGAGGAGGAGAGAAGAGGGAGCCGTTGAGAGATGGGAGAGACACAGGGACACACGGACAGACACGAGGTGGGAAGAAGCAGAGTCACAAAGAGAGGGACAGAGAGAAGCCAAGGACAGAGACAAAAGGACTGAGGGCAGAACGGGGGACAGAGAGAGACAGAGAGAGCCAAGGCAGAGGGAGGAAACGAAAGAGACAAAGAGAAACTCAAGGAGTCTAGATCTGCAGAGAAGAGGAATAAAGGACGAGAGAGGAGAGGGTGAGAGAGAGAGAGAGAGAGAGAGAGAGAGAGAGAGAGAGAGAGAGAGAGAGAGAGAGAGGTGCTTGTCATCCCAAGATTTGGGAGATTGGTGTGAGTTCGAGACCAGCCTAGACTACACAGCAAGATCCTGTCTCGTGGGGGAAAAAGTCATCCTGAGCTTCAAACCAGGAGTAGGGAGTGCGGTGACTCCACCCTGAGGATGACAGGCAGCCCTTGCTGGCTTCACTTTCCCAGTGTGCACATTAAGGGGGCGGGAGCCTCCGTTTCCTCCCTGGCTGGTCGCCCAAACAGGTGTAGGCCTGCCAGGGCAAACAGATCGGTTTGGAGACCGTGAGAGCTGTGTGTGCATAGTGGGCTGAAGGGAAGGGGGGTGACATAATCCTGGTCCAGAGCCAGATGCCGCTGGGGGAAGGTCTCTGCCCCGCTGTCTTTGAAAGCCTTCCTGAGCCTCAGTTTCCTTTTGTGAAAACTAGATGTTGCCAAGCATGGTGGTGTCCTAGAAGTTTCAGAAGTTCCAGGACATCCTCTCAACTACACAGTGAGTTTGGGACTAGCCTCAGCTACATGAGGTCCTGTCAGACAAAATGAGAGGGAAAGAGACAGAGTGCTAGAGCTAGCCCACTGGATATTATTATGGAACTAGCTGTTAAGCACAAATATTACTAAAAAATTAAATTATGCAAGTAAGTGAATTATATTAATATTCAAGTTGGGGGGCTGAAGAGATGACTTAGCAATTAAGAGCACTGGCTGCTCTTGCAGAGGAACTGGGTTCAGTTCCCAGCACCCACATGGCAGCTCATGACTGTCTGTAACTCCAGTCACAGGGAACCTGATGCCCTCTTCTGGCCTCTACAGGTACTGCACACACACATGGTGCACATACTTATATGCAGACAGAACACCCAACACCAAATAAATTATAAGGTAGAAAAGAAAGACTAAAGCAACAGTGAGTGGCAGGCCAGAGATTATTTTTTATTACAATTTATTACAATTGAACAATTTATTAATTTGGGAGGTGTGCATGTGGAGGTCAGAGGACAACGTTTGGAAGTCAATTTGTCTCCTCCCTCTCTCTGGGTCCCCAGGACTAAACTTGGGCAGTCAGCCTTAAATGCAAGTGCCTTCACCCTGAGCCAGTCCTCCAGCCCTATACATTTATGTATTTTGAGACTGGGTCTCATAACCCAGGCTGCCTGGAAGTTCTTGAGTGGCTGAGGTTGGTCTTGATCCTCCTGCCTCCACCTCAGGGAGTGCTGAGGCTGAGGTGCACCTCAGGAAGGGGTGAGCCACCACACCCAGTTATAGTGTTGGGAATGTGGTTTGGTTTTGTTTGAACAGGGGAGAGCTAGAACACAGCCTCCACTACCACAAATTATGCAGTCAACTCCCACACGAGGGAAATTAAGGGGTCAGCATATCCAGGCAAACCTCACCTGAGAAATGAAATCCACCTTGCCAATCACACTAACTCCCCTGGCAGGTAAGTGTTTTTTTTTTTTTTTTTTTGAGGCAGGGTTCCGTAGCCCAGGCTGACCTTGAACTTCTGGCCAGCCTCCCATCTCAGCCTCCCGAATTCTGAAATTATATATGCAAGGCAAACACTTTTCTTTTTGTGCATGATATCACCATGTAGCACAAACCCTCCTCCAACTTTTAATCCTCCTGTCCCAGACTCCCAAGTGCTAGGAATTTGAACTCAGGACCCTGGTCTCTGAACTGCGATGACTTCTCTTTTTCTCAGCGATAGTAATGCAGCCAAGATGACACTACAAACCAAACTGCATATATAAGTAAAATGCTTCAACTCAAGTTGTAGTCTGGCACCCCAGCACTTGGGAGACTGGGGTAGGAGGGATTCTGTGAATTCAAGGCCAGCCTGGTCTACACAGAGAATTCCAGAATGACCTGGGCAATATAATATGACCATGCCTTTAACCCCAGCACTCGAGAGGTGGATATAGGTGGAGGCCAATCTGGTCTACAAAGTGAGTTCAAGGACAAGCAGGGCTACACAGAGAAATTCTGTCTCAAAAAAACAAAACAAGGGCTGGAGAGATGGATCAGTGGTTAAGAGCATTGCCTGCTCTTCCAAAGGTCCTGAGTTCAATTCCCAGCAACCACATGGTGGCTCACAACCATCTGTAATGAGGTCTGGTGCCTTCTTTTGGCCTGCAGACATACACACAGACAGAATATTGTATGCATAATAAATAAATATTTAAAAACACAAAATAAATACATAAAAATAAAAAAATAAAAGCGGGAGCTAGATAATGTTAAGGGAGGAGCTCTGGGTGGGTTCCTAGGAGCCTTGTGACCCCACAAAGACTGTTCAAGGTAGAATGGAGACCCCCAGGGTGGAGCGCACACCCCACCCCAGCCCAGCCCAAAGCGTTCCCGGTCCCAGCTCTGACAGCTGCAGTACCCATATCCACCGCCAGGGGGCAGGTGGTTGTCTTCCTACTCGCTCTCAGGGTCTGTCTCTGCCCCCACTTGCCAGTCCTTCCTACACCCCATTATCCTAGACGCACAGACTGAGTGGACGAATCTTGAAAATGTAACATTTAGTGAAAGTAGCAGGACACAAAGGTCACATCATACAATTTGTTTTCTACGAAATGTTCAAAAGAAGGAGCTCCGCCGCCGAGAAACTCAAGCCCTGGATTCCTGGTTCCCGCGGCTTTGGGAAGAGGCAGGAAGGATGACTGTCAGAGTCTGTGGGTTCTCGTCAAAGTGATGGAGACATCCGAGATTAAGATGGATGCTGGCGTCTTCTGCTACCACCCTGTGAGTGCACCAGGACCCACTAAATTGCAAGACATCAAAGGATGAATTTGGGGCTGGAGAGATGGCTCAGCTCTTGCAGAGGACCTGGGTTCAAGTCTCAGAACACACACAGTGGTGGGCAAACATTGGGGACAACCGTCTGTAACTTCAGTTCCAGGGGCTCTGCCTCTTTCTAGCCTGTTGGGCATTGCATGCTTCAGAGTCACTCACACACATAAAATAAATAAATAGTACACTTTTTTGTTTTGTTTTGTTTTTCGAGACAGACTTTCTCGCAGCTTTGGAGCCTGTCCTGGAGCTGGCTCTGTAGACCAGGCTGGCCTCTGCCTCCCAAGAGCTAGGGTGCTAGGATTAAAGGTGTGAGCCACCACCGCCAGTCAGTATTACACTCTTTTAAAGATTCAGACTCAACACAGAGAAACCCTGTCTCAGAAAAAAAAAAAAAAAGTCAGATTCACTGCATCCACATTAGATTGGGCGAATTGGGGAATCTGTAAAGAAGACAGATACGGACTGGGAAGCAGTTTCATGGCAGAGCACATGACCAGCTTGTACAGGGCCCTGAGTTCGATTCCAGCACACTCACCCCAACCAAACACACACAAAGAAGGGTCAGACAGGGTGGCACATGCCTTTAATTCCAGCACTTGGGAAGCAGTTTCTGGGAGTTCAAGGCTAGCCTGGTTTATGTATTGAGTTCCTGACCAGCCTGGGCCTCATAGTGACCCTGTCTCTGTGGGACGTGGCAGTGTTACCAGGTCTCTGGGAGACTGGCCCACAGCAGGGACAGAGGATGAGAACTACATTTTTTTCTTTTTCTTTCTTTCTTTTCTTTGTAGCTTTGGAGCCTGCTCTGGAACTAGTTCTTGTAGACTAGGCTGGCCTTGAACTTACAGATGTCTGCCTGCATCTTCCTTCTGAGTGCTGGGGTTAAGGGCGTGCGCTACCATCACCCGGCAAGAACTATATTTTTAAGACTGCACCAAGGCTGTCCCACTGGGTCCTCAGGCCCAGCCTCTGGGACCAGTGGGGGTTCCTCTGAGTCCTGTCCCTTACTATGGAATACAAGAGGGACACATTCAAGCTGGGCAGTGGCAGCGTGTGCCTTTAATCCCAGCACTTGGGAGGCATAGGCAGGTGGATTGTGGTGAGTTGGAGGCCAGCCTGGTCTACGAAGCGAGTTCCAGGACAGCCAGGACTGTTACGCAGAAGAACTCTGTCTCAGGGGGGTGGGGGAGAGGGACGTATGCTCCCTTGAGACCCCATCCACAGCTCCATTACTCGAGAGCTCAATTGTGGGCCGCTGTCCAGCTCAGGGTGTCCCCCCTGGGTACACAGGATGGTGTTGTTACCTTGGGAGGCGTGAAAAGCAGGCAGAAGGGCGGGCAGATTCCGGCAAAGCTGGGAGGGGGGGGCTAAGGGGGAACAGGGGGCTGTGGCCCTTGTCACAGCAGGGCCCAACCACAGCCTGGCCTAGGAGGACAGACAGATAACGGGGCCTTCCAGCCCCTGGCCCCAGAGAGGGAGGGGCTTCCTGACAGGAAATTGTCCTCCTCCAAGCCCCCCCTCCTCAGATCCAAGCTCTCAGCAGTCTTGGCCCAAGTAGTCTGAAGACTGGACAGCAAGAGGGGACAGAGGGACAGGCACGGACAGAAAGCAGAAGGTGAGTGTCTGGGGGTGAAGAATGCATGCCTCCAGGTTCTCCCAAGGATGGGGGCCCCATCAGAACCCAGGACTAGAAAGCAGAAGGGTTCAATGAGAAGGGGGAGGCTGAAGGCTGAGTTTGGTGGCTGCTGCGGGAGAGGCAGAAGGCAGCTCGCCGCCAGGCCTGGAGGGCTCTGGGTTCCAGAGAGGGAGGAGGGACTGGTAGAGACTGCGGCTGCTCTTGGAGGACGGAGATAGGGGATGTTTGGTCTAACAGACTCTGATTGGGGGGCTGAAGCATGATGGGGGTTCAGCGCTTGCTGCCTCCCAAAAGATGAGGGTGGTAGCACCCAGAAAACCTGGCTACGGGCACACACCTGCAATCCCAGGACTAAGGAGGCTGAGGCAGGAGGCTGGCCAGTTTGGATTACATAGTGACTTCCAACCAGCTTGGATTAGAGATCGGGACTGTCTGAATAAATAGATAGATAGATAGATAGATAGATAGATAGATAGATAGATAGATAGATAGATAAAGAAAAGACAGGGCTAGCAAGACTGCTCAGTGGTTAGAGGTGCTCGCTGCCGTGAGGAACTGGATTCCACGTCAGAGACCTGCAAGGCAGAGAGAGCTGACTGTCAAAATTTACACGAGACCTCCACATATAGACCATGACACGTGTGCACCTCCACACACAAAATAATTAAATCAATAAATAAAATTAAAAAGAGAGAGAGTGGGCAAGGCTAGGATTAGCTAGGGAGGCTGCTCACGGGTGCTGGGATCAAGGTCCGCGAGAGTCAGGCTTTAGGACGGTTAGCCTGGAAGGAAAGCTTCCCAAATGCAGGCCTTGAGAGCTTTAAAACAAAACAAACAAACAAACAAAAAAACACTATTTTTCATCTGGGCGGTAGTGGTGCATCCCTTTAATCCCAGCACTACGGAGGCAGAGGCTGGTGGATCTCTGTGAATCTGAGGCCAGTCTGGTCTACAGAGTGAGTTCCAAGACTGCCAGGGCGACACAGAGAAACCCTATCTTGAGAAACACACATAAACAAATAAATAGGTAGGTAGGTAGGTAGATGAGAGGTAGATAGATAGATAGATAGATAGATAGATAGATAGATAGATATTTTCCCCCATCTCATGTAGCCCAGGTTGGCCTCAAACTCCTATGTGTCCAAGGATGATCCTGATGCTCTGGTCCTCGGCATGGGTGTCTCAAGTGCCTGGAAAACAGGCCCGCACCGCTGGTGCCCCCCTATGCTGGATTGGGAATCTGGAGTTTCAGGCAAGCTGCAAGCCCCTGGCGTCTGCGGGCTGCACCACTGAGCTACATCCCCTGCCTTGGCTTTTGATGTTTGATCTCAAGTGCCTCAGATTGACCTCCTGCCTCTACCTCCCGCGTGCCAAGATTAAAGGCATGCTCTTACCACACCGGGTTTGTGGGTTTGTCTATCCAGGGTTCAAAAGCATTGTGGTCCTCCCGCCCCAGCCTCCTGGGACAGGCTCTGGGATTGCTGTGTCACCATACCTAGCTCGATGCTGAGGGCTTGACAGTGTTAGGATTACTGATGAGGGTTTGGGGAAAGGCTGGCAGTGAGGAAGAGGAGGAGGGGCCGGGAGAGGGAAACGCTGGTGGCCTAGACATCCTGCAGAACCCGGAGGCTGGGGGCTTGAGAGAGGCTCGGAAGTGAGTCAGGGGCCTGGGCACCGGGAGGCAGCGGAGGGCGTTGGAGGGGGCAGGATGTTGGAACCAGGTTGCAGAGGGAGGTGTCGGAGTCAGGAAGGGGAAAGAGGTGGGGGGGGGGTTGTGGTAAATGCTGCTTAAGTTTAGAAATGCCGGGAATGTGCTGGGAACGGTTTGAGGGGTACCAGGGAGTGAGTGGCCAATGAAGTCTGGGCATTGCTAGGTGCAGTTGGGAGCCACAGTCATTACAGGACTTGGAGGTAGTTTGGGGGACGTTGGAGCCGTTACTGGGAGGGACGGAGCCACTTTTTCATTACAGTTGGTTTGTGTGCGTGTGTGTCAGGCGTTCGTGTGCCACGGTGCATATGTAGAGGTCAGAAGACACTTTTAGTAGTTCATTTTCTCCTACCGTGTGAAGATGAGGCATCAGACTCAGGTTCTCAGGCTCCCCGGCAAGTGCCTCTCTACCCACTGAGCCACCCCACCGGCCCCCGGAGCCATTTTTGGGGTGAGGCATACAGAGCCTTCCACAAGACGGAAGACTAATAAATCGGTGCGTGAATAGTGTGTGCCCATGGGGGAGTGTGTATCGATTGTACACCGCCGTGGGGGCTCCAAAGCAAAGGGTTGCTATGGTGACTGCCTCATTCAGGGATAGGGACCGCGGAAACTGGAGGGAGGTTGACAACGGTGCGTCTAGAAAACGGTGTGTCTAAACAGTGGAAGTCGAGAGTGGGAATGCAGATTCTACCACGAAAACCGACACTTTAGCCGCAGCCTCTCTCCACGGTTCACGGCTCTGCAGTCCCCCTTTGCAAACTCGCTATGGGTCCATCCCATGTAATATATAGTATAATATAATGAACAAACTCGCTATGGGTCCATTCCATGTAATATATAATATAATATAATGAACAAACGCTATGGGTCCATCCCATGTAATATATAATATAATATAATATAATATAATGAACAAATGCTATGGGTCCAGCCCTAATATAATATAATATCGAACTCGCTATGGATCTAGCCCATGTAGTATATAATGTAATATTGAACAAACTCGCTATGGGTCCAACCCTTATAATATATAATATAAATATAATGAGCATCCAGTGGTTTATTTACCCAGTTTTGTCTGGAATATTACGCAGCCCTTAAAGCAGGTGAACCAGACAGTGCGGCTATACGTCAGTAAACATCACGGGTGCATCACATAAGCAGAGGAAAGGGAAGCGCTGAGCTGTGAGACACAGGCGCTGCAAGGCCGTTTCTGTTTTCATGGTCTGCCCACATGTAATCAACACACCACTTGCAAGCCTGGTGCCCGAAGAAGCCAGAATAGGAACAGGGGTGGAGTTTCAGATGGTTGTGAGTTGCCATGTGGGTGGTGGGAATCGAACTCGGGACCTCAGTCAGTGCTCTTGACCAGTGAGCCAACTCTGCAACCTCCATCTTTTATGGTTTTGTGAGACAGGGTCTCATTCTGCATTCCAGGCTATCCTGGAACTCACTGTGTAGCCCAGGCTGGCTTTGAACTCCTGAGCTCTGAGCTATTATGCGTGACTACTGATTTTGTTTTTAATACTTTTCTAAATGTTTGGAGTACTTCATCATTTAATTTATTTGGTTGGGGTTTTTGTTTGTTTGTTTTGTTTTGTTGTTTTTGTGGTGCTAGGTATGGGATCCAGGGACAAACGTGTACCAGGAAAGAGCTCTGCTGTCGAGTTTATCTATTTATTTTGGATACAGTCTATACAGTGAGGTTCTGGTTGGCTAGAACTATATAGACCTCTGTATAAACCAGGCTGGCCTCAAATTCACAGAGATTTATCTGTCTCTGCCATCTTGCTGACTCTGAAGGGTGCATTTTACAAAAAAAGGAAAGGAAAAGAAACAAGGGGTCCTTGAGAAATCTCAGGGGGTAAAGGCGCTTGCGGCCAAGGCTGAGGGTCTGAGATTGAGAAACTGGCTGCCTCATATGCGCTGTGACACTCCAGTGACCGCGTCCACACACAGACAGTGTGCACAGAGTTAGAATGATAACCCAGGGTGTAGCTCCGTGGTTGAGCATGGGCCCTCATCCACCAGTCCCTGAGTTCTGGGCACAATGCTGACAGCAAGGTAAGATCACAAGTTTCCCTTGGGAAACAGTCCAAGTCCCTTGTCACAGAGTTCAGGTCCTGTGTGGCCCGCTCCTTATGACCTCCCCCCCCCCAAGGAATGAACTGTCTGCCTCCTTCCTTCCTTTGCTTCCTGTTAGCACCCATTCCAGAGTGCCTGACCCATGCTCTGAGCCAGGGACGCAGGAGTGACAGACACAAGCCCAGCCCTGCCTGCCCCAGGCTCTCAGTCCAGATGCAGACCTGTCCCCAGACAAGGACCACCATAGAGGGAACTATAGGGAGCCCAGGGTCAAGAGACCCAAGGGTCAGGAGGACTTCCTGGAGGAGGCAGCCTTGGAACTGAGCTCCAAAGCATGGAGACCTGGCTCCATGTGGGGAGACCTGGAGACACAGCCCAGAAAAGAGGAAACAGGGGATTTATTAGCTCCAGGGAGGTGTGCAGCCCAGCCCGCAGACCCCGGGGCTCTGATGAGGGACCTGAACATCGAACCAATGGCACTGGGGAACTATGGAAGGTTCCGGAGGGGAAGGATCAGGTTTATGCTACATGGAAATCTTCAAAGCTGAGCTACAAGTGCCAAGAAGCTGAAAGGGCATGGTGGTGCAATACTGTTATCCCAGAAGTGGAGGCAAGAGGATCGGGAGTTCAAGGCCAACCTATACTATGTGATTTCTGCCTCAAAAATTAAAATAAGCTTGGTATGGTGGCTCACAGCTGTAGGCATACCTAGAAGATTGAGGCAGGAGGATCACCTCAAGTTTGAGGCCATCCTAAGCTATGTAACAAGTCTTAGGTCAGCCTGTGCTTCTGTCTGGAAAAAAAAAAAAAAAACCTGAGTCTGGGGCAGGGAAGTGGTCATAGTTTCCAGTTGTGAGAGGGGTATAGGGAGAGACAAAGGGCCAGAGATGGAGACATAGAAATGGACAGGACACAGGACACTGAGCCCTGTGAGGGTGGCTCTGGCCTGTCACAGTTGTATCCTCACAGCCTGCCAAGAGTGGATCCCAAGACCCACTAAGTTTCTTGTCTTTTGGCAGTATTGAGTATCATACCCAGAGCTTTGTGCAAGCTGGGCAGGGGCCCTACCACTGAGCCACACCCCAGGCCCTCACTGGGGGATTCTAGGCAGGGGCTCTACCACTGAGCCACACCCCAGCCCCTCACTGGGGGATTCTAGGCAGGGACTCTACCACTGAGCCACACCCCAGCCCTCACTGGGGGATTCTAGGCAGGGGCTCTACCACTGAGCCATACCTCTATTGCAGTTTTTGTTTTATTTTGCTCCTAGTTGCTGTTTGTTTGTTTGTTGTTTTATCTAGTCTTGCTGGCCGGCAGCTCCCAATGACTGTGTTGCTGTACAGGTGTCAATCCTCCTGTTTCTGTCTCTAGAGTGCTGGGATTATATGGCTGTGTCACCACATCCATCCCTTTTGTCTTTTTTTTTTAATTTATTTATTTTTATTTATTTATTAAAGATTTCTGTCTCTTCCCCACCGCCGCCTCCCCTTTCCCACCCCTTCCCCCAATCAAGTCCCCCTCCCTCGTCAGCCCAAAGAGCAATCAGGGTTCTCTGCCCTGTGGGAAGTCCAAGGACCACCCACCTCCATCCAGGTCTAGTGAGGTGAGCATCCAAACTGCCTAGGCTCCCACAAAGCCACTACGTGCAGTAGGATCAAAAACTCATTGCCATTGTTCTTGATGTCTCAGTAGTCCTCATTGTCCGCTATATTCAGCGAGACCGGTTTTAACCCAGGCTTTTTCAGACCCAGGCCAGCTGGCCTTGGTGAGTTCCCGATAGAACATCCCCATTGTCTCAGTGTGTGGGTGCACCCCTCGTGGTCCTGAGTTCCTTGCTTGCGTTCTCTCTCCTTCTGCTCCTGATTTGGACCTTGAGATTTCAGTCCGGTGCTCCAATGTGGGTCTCTGTCTCTGTCTCCTTTCATCGCCTGCTGAAGGTTAATATTCAGGAGGATGCCTATATGTTTTTCTTTGGGTTCTCCTTCTTATTTAGCTTCTCTAAGAACCCGAATTATAGGCTCAATGTCCTTTATTTATGGCTAGAAACCAAATATGAGTGAGTACATCCCATGTTCCTCTTTTTGGGTCTGGCTTACCTCACTCAGGATAGTGTTTTCTATTTCCATCCATTTGCCTGCAAACTTCAAGAAGTCCTTGTTTTTTACTGCTGAGTAGTACTCTAATATGTATATATTCCATACTTTCTTCATCCATTCTTCAATTGAAGGGCATCTAGGTTGTTTCCAGGTTCTGGCTATTGCAAACAATGCTGCTATGAACATAGTAGAGCATATATTTTTGTTGTATGATAAGGCCTCTCTTGGGTATATTCCCAAGAGTGGTATTGCTGGGTCCAGGGGTAGGTTGATCCCGAATTTTCTGAGAAACCGCCACACTGCTTTCCAGAGTGGTTGCACAAGTTTGCATTCCCACCAGCAATGGATGAGTGTACCCCTTTCTCCACAACCTCTCCAGCAAAGGTTATCATTGGTGTTTTTGATTTTAGCCATTCTGACAGGTGTAAGATGGTATCTTAAAGTTGTCTTGATTTGCATTTCCCTAATCGCTAAGGAAGTTGAGCATGACCTTAAGTGTCTTTTGGCCATTTGAACTTCTTCTGTTGAGAGATCTCTGTTCAGCTCGGTGCCCCATTTTATAATTGGGTTGATTAGCCTTTTACAGTCTAGTTTCTTGAGTTCTTTATATATTTTGGAGATCAGACCTTTGTCAGTTGCGGGGTTGGTGAAGATTTTCTCCCAGTCAGTGGGTTGCCTTTCTGTCTTAGCGACAGTGTCCTTTGCTTTACAGAAGCTTCTCAGTCTCAGGAGGTCCCATTTATTCAATGCGGCCCTTACTGTCTGTGCTGCTGAGGTTATATGTAGGAAGTGATCTCCTGTGCCCACTTGTTGTAGAGTACTTCCCACTTTCTCTTCTATCAGGTTCAGTGTGGTCAGACTGATATTGAGGTCTTTAATCCACTTGGACTTGAGTTTTGTGCATGGTGATAGATATGGATCTATTTCATCCCTTTTGTCTTAATATCATCAGCTTTGTGTGTGTGAGAGAGGGTATGCGTGTAAGAGTGTATATATATGTGTGTATGTGAGAAAGAGGCAGTGTGAGAAAGAGGTGTGTGTGATAGAGAGAAAGAGACAGAAGGGGGAAAGAGAGGGTGTGTGTGTAAGAGAGTGTATATATGTGTGTGTGAGAGAGTGTATATATATGTGTGTGTGTGAGAGAGTGTGTATATGTGTGTGTGTGAGAGTGTATATGTGTGTTTGAGAGAGAGCAAGAAAGAGATGTGTGTGGCTCAGGGAGAGTTTCATGTGGTTTAGTTCAAGCTGCCCTAAAACCTCAGTGTAGCCATGAAAGGCTTTGAACTCCTGATCCTCCTGCCCTCACCTCCCCAGTGCTCGGTACCAAGGGTCACGGCCACACCTAGCTTTGTCTTCAGTGTTCTGAGATCAGTTGCCCTTAGGCATCCCTGGCACCTTCTAATCAAAGCCTTCAGCACACAAGGACAGACACCGTCACCCACACTACTTTGGTCATTATTTTTCTGCAGGTGCCAGCCTGTCAAAATGCCAATCCTGAAGAGTCTGGGGGTGGGAGACCCTAAGATGCCACGAGCAGGGACCCTGCCCCTGCGGTCCTCTCGCAACCCCTTTGAAGACGCTCCAGCGCTGGATGAAGAAGCTCGGGAGCCGGGGACACTGCCCAATGGGACGTCGTGCGGCCGGCGGGCCACGCTGGAGAAGCTGGCTGGTCTGGCCCATTTCCGACTGGGCTGGACCTCGGGCCGGCGGGCAGGCAGCCCCGGGGATGGGCAAGGCCGCTCTTTCTTGGGCCGTGTGCTGACACCAGGCATACGAAGGAGCTCAGCCGATTTTGGCCTCCTGACCCGACTTCAGGGATTCCGAACCCACGGCGATGAGGAGCCAACTGGAGAAGCCGCTCGAAGATTGGCTTTCCTGAGACTCGGTCGTGGGCCCAAGCCCCGACGAGCATCCTTGGCAGAGAGAGTGGTACCTGCAGGTGAGGCGGCCCCTGAGCCCCCACCCAAAGTCCCGGAGCCCCCAAAGATGAAGGAACCACTGTCTGGTGAGTGAGTGGGGACTCTTGATGCAGACGTAGGGGGCTCACTGCTGCATCCATCAACCCTTAGGGGTGGGGTCCCTCTTCTTTCTACCTAATCTTATGCCAGCCTTCGTCTGTGACACCATCTCGAGTCACACAGCCCATGTCCAATCACCCTCCAAAAGTTCGTATTTGGGTCAGCAAGATGGCTCAGTTTGTTAAGGTGCTTGCTGCACAATTCTGATGACACAAGTTGAAGCCTTGGAACCCAAATAACTGTACACACACACACACACACACACACACACACACACACACACAAAATGAATGCTAGCGACCGCAAAGGCCATTTCCAACTTCTCGTGTCCATGTCTGACACCAAGTGAAAGTCCAGCTAGCATGTCCCATGTTCCTGAACTCTGTAAGGCACCGTTTCCCCCTTCCCCAGCCCCCAGCCCCTTTTCCTCCCCAGCCTAAGACCGCCTGGCCCTGAGCTTCACCCCCCCCCTCCAGCCCTAGCTCAGGGTGCACAGCGTCATTCCCACCCATTCCTTTCTGAATCTCACCTCCTCCCTCCACCTCCAGCTTCACTGTCCTGTTCAGGCTTGCTTTTCAAAATCTCCCGCCCCAGCTGCTCACCCGGAGTCCCGCAGTACCATGGGTGCCTTAGAGAGTAGAGATAGTTGGTTCCCGGATGCACACAACAGGCGGCCTGCAGGGGCCTCTTCTATGCCTCTTCCCAGCTCTGGCTGGCTGCTGGAAGTCTTCCTGCCTTGGAACTGGAGACTCATCCTTCCGATCTTTCATCCTTGTGTGGAATTGTCCCTCTCTCTCCTCTCATTCCTCTCTCTCTCTCTCTCTCTCTCTCTCTCTCTCTCTCTCTCTCTCTCTCTCTCTGTGTGTGACTGACAATAACTTGCAAGAGTCAACTTTCTCCTCCCACTGTGTGGATCTGGAAGATCAAACTCAGTTTGTTAGGCTTGATAGGAAGTGCCTTTACCTGCTGAGCCCTGTCCTTACCCCCAGTTTTCTGTTCTTAAGAACACCAACCTTTGGCTTAGGAGCTGTGCCCATGACGTCTGGAAAGATCGTATTTCTAACTGAGGTCACATCCATAATACTGGAAGACTAGAAGTCACAGCTTGGTTGAGGGGACACAGCCAACCCATACTACCAACCCATCCTCATCCTCAACCCCACCCCATGCCGCGTCCCATGCTTCCTCTGTGTCCCTCTCTTCCTGAGCCACCGTCATGTTCTCGATGCCTGGGCCTGTGAGGCAGCTTAGCTGGGAGAGCCTGGAAATCAGAACTCCATCTCTGGAACCCAGGGAAAGATGAAAGGGAGAAGCAGCCCCACAAAGCTGTCAGAGGACCTCCATACATGCAGCAGTGCGTGTGTGCTTGCTCCCTCCCCTATCATGTGCACATATATGAACAATAAAAATGGATAAATGGGTTCTGGAGAGATGGTTCAACCAATAACAGTGAGGCTCACTACCCAAAACATAAACAGACAAATTCAATTCTTTTCCTTTTTTGTGTGTGAGGAGAAGGGGATTGAACCCATGGCTTTCTACCATTTTGTATTTGGGAATTTTTTGTTTTTATTATTGTTAGTTTATGAGCTTGTGTGCATATATGTGCACTGTGTGTGCGCAATGCCCTAGAGGCCAGAAGGGGTCACTGGATCCCCTGGAGAGGGAGTTAGACCATTGTGAGCCACCATGTGGGTGCTGGGAACTGGACCTGGGTCCTCTGCTCTTCCAGTGGTCTCTCCAGGCTCTGTATGGCTTTTGAGAAGGTCTCACTTTATAGCCCTGCCTCCATCTGTAGATCTGCATGAATGAGACTAGCTTCCAACTCCAGGGCAGTCCTTCTGCCTCTGCCTCTGTCCTGGTATTACAGGTGAGTGCCTCCAAACTTGGCTCTCTTTTTTTTTTTTTTGTTGTTGTTGTTGTTCTTTTTTTCTCCCTTGGCTTGAGACAAGGTCTCTAAAGTAGCTCAAACTAGCCTTAACTTTAGGTTTCTTCTGCCCTGGTAGGTAGGCTATGTCTGCCTCATCGTGCCTGGCTTTCTTGCTCAGTCTGCAAATCATAGTGCCAAGCTCACTCGGATGCTAAATTGCCCTCCGCCTCGCTCTGTCTTTTTCCCAGCCTCCCCCAAACTCCATTCTCCACCCCAGCTTTGTGCCACCCTCTCTTAGCTTCAGCCCTACCCCCTACTTCATGCATCGTCGGGGGACCTTCCTGGAGCCTCTCCTGTCCTCTGATGCCCTCCACATCCTGGACAGAGGCTATTTCAGCTCCGGCTCCCTGGGGACTGGGAGGGCACTGCAGAGAGGTGAGGAGGGGGTGACTGGAGCCCCCGCCTTCTGGAAACGGATGGGCAGAAATAGCGCTGCTCAGGAAATAGCTTCTCTGCCAGGGAGGAAACGGCGAGGGGGGGGAGGTGTTGAGGGTAACTCTTGGCCAACGGGACCCTCCTCCCCTTTGGCCTCTACTTAAAGCCTCTCAAACCCATGACTCCCCTTTTCACTGTGGGTCCCACTTTTGTAGAGTGTGGCCTTACCATCACAGCCATCCTACCCCCAAAGACCCCTAACCAGCCTGCCCCTTGCTCCCCCCATGGCTCTCGACATCAGTTACTTACCTGGATCTGAGCACATCTCTCAACCCCACAAGTCGCACTCAGACCCTCCTCTCCGTCCCAGCCCCTTCCTCCAATCCCACTGTTTTCTCTTGCTAACCTCCATCCTTGGCTGCGTCTCTAACTGTTCTCTTCTCCCCCACCCCCTCTCCTTCCCTGAACCCTCTCATCTCTTGCTTCCTCCCTCCTCACAGTCCTCTCTGTGTCTGTGCTCCGCCTAGCATGAAGCTCAGAACATAGCACGGGACAGCCTGGAGCCCAAGGCAATCCTCCTGCCTCAGCCTCCCAAGTGGATGACCGATGTGAGACCACACATCCATCTTCTCGGTGTCACCTGCTGTCCTGTGGCCTCTGCTCCCTAGGCAGGTTCCTCTCCAAAGCTCCTGGCCCCAGCCCTCCATCTTCCCTCTCAACCTCTACTTCCCCAGTTCCTTCCTTCGTCTTGGTCCTTTCTGGGGACTTACTACTGACTCTCTCTCTCTCTCTTTTTTTAAACGGAGACTCATGTATCTCAGAAATGGCTTCAAACTTGCTATGTAGCCTAGGTAGACCTTGAACTCATTTTAAAATTAGTTTATTATTTTATGTGTATGTGCTTTGCATGTATTTCTGTGCACCACACGTGTGCCCGAGGAGGCCAGAAGAGGGATCAGATCTTCAACCCCAAGACCTTGAACTCTTCATCCTCCTGCTGGGATTGCAGGCAGCCCCATTCCTCTTTTTCTTCTCTCTCTGTCTCTCTGTATCTTTCTTCTCTGTGTCCCCCCCCCCGCCCCTTGTGTGCACATGCATAGATGGAGGACAGAGAACACTTTCCAGGAAATGTGGGTCCTGGGATGGAACTCGGGTCATCAAACTTGGCAGCAGGCACCTTTGCCAAGGCGCCCTCTCACTTTGTTTGTTGTTTTCTTTTTGTTCTGTGACAAGGTCTCTCTGTAGCCCAGGCTGCTCTGTTGGGTGCAATAGCTGGTGTTAAGGGCGAGTGTCACCAGGGTTGACAATCACACTCACTCTCTCATTTTGGGAGGAACTAGTGGCCACGTCCTGAGCGCTGACACCCTCTCCACATCCTTCACCTTTCAGTTTTGGTGTCCTGTGCTCTTTCTCCTCATCTCTCCACTCTCTGATTTTGCGGGTCCTGGGGCACCTGCCCCACTTCCTGACACCCCCTTTTCTCCCCCACCCAAACCCCTCCACAGTGCTGGAGATCCTAGGTCTGATCCAGAAGCGCGAGCTGGCACGGGCGGACGAGCACATCCTGGAGCTGGAGGCAGAGGCGCCGGCGGAGGCCGAGGCGGGCTCGGGGCGGCGCGCGCGGGATGTGGCGCTGCTGTACGAGGCGCTGCAGCGCGAGCTCTGGGCGCTGGTGCGCGAGGCGCTGGCAGCCCCGGGGCCCGGCGCGGGCGCGGTGGCGCAGCTGGGCCGCGTGCTGCAGCAGGAGGAGGCGGCGGACGCGCGGCGCGGCCCTGCGGCGGCCCGCAAGCTGCGCGCGCGCTGGGTCGAGGCGGTGGCGCGCGCGGCGCGGGAGCGGCTGGAGGAGGCGGCGGCGCCGGGCGCGCGCGGGGCGCTGGCGGGGCAGCTAGAGGCGCTGCGCGCGCGCCTGCTGGAGGACGTGGCCGCCGTGCGCGGTCGTCTGGCTCCAGCCTACCCCGCGGAGCTGCGCGCCGGCGCCGTCTACCTGCGCGGCTATCACGAGGCCATGGCCGAGTGGCTCGGGGCGGCCGCGCGCCGCAGGCTCCCCCTCGCTGATCGCTACGCCCTGCTCCACTGGCACCATCAGGTGTACCCTAGGTGAGCCTGGGACGCCCCGGGCCGTATGCACCTTACCCCAGATACCTTTTTGAGTTATTGGATTTAGGGGAAGGGGCTCATGTAGCCCAGGCTAACTTGAACTTGTTTCCTTTTTAAAAATTTTTACTTAAGGCATGCTTATCTGTGCATATGTATGTGCACAGGCATACGGGTGCTTGAAAGAGACCAGAAAGAAGCATTGTTCCCCCTAGAGTTGGAGTAACAGGCGGTTGTAAATTGCCCAGTGTGAATGCTGGAAACCAAACTCGGATCCTCCTCAAAAAAATGCAGCAAGCGCTCTTAACCGCTGAGCCATCGCTCCAGCTCCTCCTCCTCTTCTTTCCTTCCCACGAATTAACAATAATCAAGCGTCAGATAAATTTCGTCACCTGCACTATTGACATTTTGCAAAGCTCTCCTTCCGATCCTCCTCTGCCTCCCTTATTCTTTCATTCCTTTTCGTTGTGATAAGAAATGCACTCTGCCCAAAAACAGTTTATGGGAGGAAAGGACTCATTCAGTGAGGTCACAGTTCGCGCTGTCTCTCACCGAGGGACATCAGTGCAGGAACTTAAGCAGAAACTTGACGGCTGCCTGGCTAGCTGTCCCACACACAGAGAGTGACCTAGGACCAAGGAACTCCCAGCCACGGAAACGCAGTAGAAACCATGGGCGCGTGCTGCTGGCTGGCTGGCTGGCTGGCAGGCATCTCAGCTAGCTTCTTTATATGGCTCAGGATCCCCTGGCCAGGGGATGGGGTCACCCACAGTGGGCTGCACCCTCCTATGACATTCCCCCGTGGACTCATCTGAGGGGTTCCTTAGTTGAGGATTCTCTCTTAGATCGGTTTTTGTCGAGTTGGCAATTAAAGCCAAGTAGGATGTCCCTGGTGCTGGGATTAGAGGTGCACGCTACCGCATCGTCATATTAGACCCTAGCAAATGTGGGCCGTCTATGACGTTGACCCTTGTATCACTCGTGTCCGTCCCTGCACCAGCTTTGTTGATTGTTCCAGTCCCAGAACCTCTGTAAACTCAACGCTGATGGCCGCGGGGTCCTTGTACTGGCCCAGGGCCGTTAGCACCGTCCATAGTGAGTCCCTATGCCTTAGTGGCTTGCCTCTTGGAGACTTCAAATCTTAACTCTGCCGTCCTTCCAGACCTAGAACACCATCGGTGTTCTCGTTCTGGGTTCTCAGCACTGTTTAATCCACAGCGGGCATAGTAGCTCAGTGCTGTGGACCTTCTGGAAAGGGAAGAGCTGTCCACCCTTCCAGTCCCAGGACGTTAGCAACATGGATCTCTGTCCCACTGAGCCTCAGTCTGAGAGAATTCCAGAAGGCAGCAAGTGTGATAGCCCACACCTGTATTCCTAAACTAGGAAGGTAGAGGTAGGTGGATTTCTGTGTGTTCCAGCAACAGCCTAGTCTACATAGGACAGCCAGGGCTATATAGAAAGACCCTGTCTCAAATAAAATAAATAAAGTAAAATTGGGAGGGACCAGTGAGGTGTCTCAGGGGTAAAGATACTTGTGAAAGCCTGGCAATGTGAGGTAGAACCCTAGAGCCCGTGTTAGGGAGGAAGGAGAGAACAGACTCCATAAAGATGTCTTCTGGCCTCCGCATGCTTATGGCACACCTACCCCATTTGATCATGCTACATGCAATGGTCTAAAAAATAGTAACTCTCTTGCCAGGCGGTGGTGGCGCACACCTTTAATCCCAGTACTCGGGAGGCAGAGGCAGGCAGATCCCTGTGAGTCTGAGGCCAGCCTGGCCTACAGAACAAGTTTCTGGACAGCCAGGGCTACACAAGAAAACATGGTCTCAAAACAAAATAAAATAAACAAACAAAAATAGTAGCTCTCTGTCTCTGTCTGTCTCTGTTCTGGGAATTAAACCCCTGGTCTTGCATGCTTTCACATACTAGACAAGCAGTCTGCACTGAGCAACAGCCTCAGCCCCTTTATCTTTTCATGTTGAGACGGGGTCTTAGTCTGTACCCCAGACTGGATTTGAACTCACTCTGTACATCAGGCAAGCCTTGAACTTCCATTTTTCCCCTCTCAACCTCCCAAGTATCTAGTGAGACAAACCTGCTGGGTAGATTTTTGTTTTGTTTTGTCTTGAGACAGGATTTCTTTGTAGCTTTGAAACCTGTCCTGGAACTCACTCTGTAGACCAGGCTGGCCTCTGTATTCACAGAGATCCACCTGCCTCTGCCTCCCATGTACTAGGATTAAAGGCGTGTGCCCACTGCCCAGCTGGGCAGATATTTTACGAAGATTTAAATTCTTCATTTATGTGTGTGTGCGCATGTGTGCTCGCGCATGTGTATCTGTGTGCCGGTGCCAACGGCAGCCACAGGTGGAGGGGGTAGATCCGGTGAAGCTAGACTGACAGGCGATTGTAAGCCACTCGGTGTGGGTGCTGGGAACTGAACCCAAGTCCTCTGCAAGAGCAGCAAGTGCTCTTCACAGTTTAACTATCTCTCCAACCCCCCAGATATTTTTTTTTTTGTTTGTTTGTTTCCAAGACAGGGTTTCTCTGTGTAGCCTTGACTGTCCTGGAACTCTACATATAGACCAGGCTGGCCTCGAACTCACAGAGATCCATCTGCCTGTCTCTGCTGGGAATAAAAGCACGTGCCACCACTGCTTGGCTCATATATTTTTTTGAGGCTTGGTAGGTTTATAACTCTTCCAGCCTGGTGAGTTAGTGCTAAGGAGCCTAAACCTTTGTTCCACTCCCTTTAGGTCACTGGACTTTGTCACTGTTGACTCTGACTGTCCCCACACTGCTGGTCGCTGAGTTCTGATCCAGTTTTGGGAGTTTCCTTCCAATTCTGGAATCTTACATCTGTTGAGCCTCTGAATCCCCAAATGGACTATATTTTGTGGGGGGATTGGAGGGGGTGGTATGGAGATAACTCCATTGTTCTTCCCTGGGAAGAAAGAAGTTAGCCATCTCCAAACCACACAAGAGAGAATGAAGGGATGGTACCAAATGAGGACGCGGGTGCCCGGTCACACGCATTTGTGCTCTCAAGCAGCTGGAAGGCTGAAGCAGAAAGATCAGGAGTTCAAAGTGAGCCTGGGCTATACAGTGAGCTCCAGGCTAGCCTGGGCTACCTAGCCCCTAAAAAATATTTAAAAGGTCAGAATGCTGTCATCAAAAGAAAAGGAAGGCAGAGCCCATGACAGGTAGCGGCAGGATATGGGTCTGGAAAGCTCCTGGAAAAGATAAGACGCGGGCTAAGTCTGAATCAACACGGGCTAAGTCTGAATCAGAGGAAGATGGCATTTCTGACCAAGCAGATCCCACGAGAAAAATCTGGTGAGGGTGGGCGATGGGAGGTGCGGGGTGGGCGATGGTGAGGTTGTTAGCCTCACCTGAAAGGGGCACGAGCGCAGCTAAGTTGGAAAGCACCCCCAACCAGGTGAGGTGAAGCTCCCAAAGTTAGAAGCCCAAGTCCGCTCGTCAAGCCTGAACTTGACAGCTAAGTCTTGCCCGGACACCATCCATCAGGAGAGCTGACTCAGTACTGGAGCCAAGGGAAACATAATTCTAAACACTTCCTTTGAAAGATGAGAAAGGCAGCCCGAGAGAGGAAGGGAGTGGCCTAGGGTTGCTGACACCAAGACTGTGGGGACACGTGGAGGGGCCCCGGGGCTCAGCCCCATCTCTCACAGACCTTCTGTCTCTTATTTCCCCACCCCAGGGAGATCCTGGGCTTGGTAGACATGGTCGCCTTGGAGAACGGGGAGCTGGGGCCCCTCCTTTCCGCTGGCACCCTGCGTGGTTTGGAAGATGAATGTGTCACTGATGTGAAGGTACCTAGGACTTGGCCACTTGGGGTGGGAACGGACTCTGGAGGTCACAAGGGGCTTGGCAGGTTCCCCTCCCCAACTCAGTTTCCATTTTCCTTTCCCTGTGGTGACCTGAGTTCCGTCCAAAGGCCATTGACACGCAAATCCACAGGAGACCTTCCTTCCTTCCTTCCTTCCTTCCTTCCTTCCTTCCTTCCTTCCTTCCTTCCTTCCTTCCTTCCTTTTTCTCCCTTTACCTCTTTTCCTCCCTTCTTCCCTTCCTCCTCCTCCTCCTCCTCCTCTTCCTCCTCCTCCTCCTCCTCTTCTCCTCTCTCTGTCTCTCTCTCTTCTTAGAATTTTTTTTTGACACAGTCTCACTCTAGAATTCATAATCCTCTTGCCTCAGTCACCCCAGCGCTGAGATCACTGCGTGCGGAACCATTCTTGACCATGTCTACATTTTATGTCACCTCCTAAGCACTCCCCCAACACACAAAGGTTTGAGAGGTTCAGACCCCGGTCCCAGAGTCTCACTGCAAGACCCCAATACTCACAGCACCCGGCATGTAGGCATCTTGACAATATGCTTGCACAGCTGAGAAGAGAAGCAGGGAATGGCCAAGACAGGTGGCGACACCTTTTCGTCATGGCTTTGGGACGCAGAGGCAGGCAGATGAGTCCAGCCTGGTCTACATGCAGAGTTCCAGGCCAGCCAGGCCTGAATAGTGGGATTCTGTCTCAGAAACAAGTGCTTAATGATAGGTCTTACCTCATGTACATGACCACGCATGTAAAGCTACACTCACTTACTCAATTGAGGACACTAGCGAATCAGATAGGCAAACCTCGAAAATTCCTTTTGTGCCCCCCCATATTCCTGGGATGGAACAGGGGCCTTTTGAAAGTGCTCTACCACTGAGCCACGCCCCCAGCCCCTCACTGGGGGATTCTAGGCAGGGTCTCTACCGCCGAGCTAAATACCTATCCATTAGTGTTTGGCATTCTTGAATCAGAACACAGAACTTTTAGATGTGTCTTTTCCTGCCATGAGTGACCTAGAGCCTTGCTCTTGTGAGGTCAGGGTTCTGTCACTGAGTTACTTTCCCAGCCCAAATGTGAGTGCTTTAAACTAATTGTTCAGCAGAACCCTGTAGAAGAGCCTTCCGCCCTCAAACAGCCCTCGGCTGCAAGAGAAAGCTTAAAAATACAAGGTGTAGTCAGCTGTGGTGGCGCACCCCTTCGGTTTCTGCACTCAGGAGGCAGAGGCAGGCAGATCTCTGAGTTCAAGGCCAGCCTGGTCTACAGAGGGAGTTCCAGGATACAGAAACCCTGTCTCGAAAACAAATGAAAAACAAATATAGATGTTAATGTGTGTGTATAAACATATATGTATATATGTGAGATATATATCTACACACACACACACACACACACACACACACACGGTATTGCGGCTGGAGTGATGGTTCAGCACCTAAGTGAAACTCAAGTTCAGTTTCTAGCACCTATATCAGGCAGCCCATAGCCACCTGTAATTCCAGCTCCAGGGGAATCTGACACCTTCTTCTGGCTTCTCTGGACACCTACATTTTCTCTCTCCTCCCCCCCCCTCTCCTCTCTCCTCTCTCCTCTCTCCCCTCTCCCCTCTCCCCTCTCCCCTCCCCCCCCCTCTCTCTCTCTCCTCTCTCCTCTATCTCTCTCTCTGGCAAGGTTTCTCTGTGTAGCCCTCACTGTCCTGCAACTCTAGACCAGGCTGGTCTCGAACTCACAGAGATCTGCCTGCCTCTTCTTTGCAAGTGCTGAGATTAAAGCTGTGTGCCACCACCGAATGCCTTATCTATATCTTTAAAAAAAAACCCACATGGTTTTAATATTAAGTCCTAGACCACAGGCAGGAAAGGAGGAGGCAAGGGTGGGGTGGGGAGGGTTCCAAGTATCTCCTTGACCTTGGGGTTTGTGGGGTGAGCCCAGAACTTCTTGGTGAAGGTACTTAGATGGTGGTGAGAGGATGGTAAGGCCCAGCTGCCCTGACTTCTGCTGGTCCACCACCTGTCGCAGACTCAGACCCGAGCAGCTCTCCTTCAAGTGCTGCAGGAAGACGAGGAACAGTGGGGCAGCTTGGACTACAGGCCCAGCAACCTGGCCCAAGACGTCTGTGAGGTAATGGGAGGAAGGGGATAGCCTGAGGTGTAGGAGGGGAGGGAGGGGAACCAACCCCTCTACTGTGTCTCTGTGCCTCCTCCTGGTCCACACAGCTTCTGGAAGAACACACAGAGAGAGCACCCCGTATCAGTCAAGAGTTTGTGGAGAGGATGGCACACTGCTGCCTGGGAGGGCTGGCAGAGTTCCTGCAGAGGTAAGGGGCATAGGGAGAGGGTGGGTCTGAGGGGGCTGGCCACCGGGATCTGGTTCACATTGAGACAGTCGGGGTGAAAGGCAGAGGAGGACTGGGGAAGTGTGTCCCAGAGAACTTAAGTTCAGTCCCAGAACCCACGTGAGATGGCTGGCGTCAGTCCATAACACCAGCTCCAGGGGGTGCAATGTCTATGGTCTCCCCAGGCACCAGCACGCATGTGCACAGAGACACATGCATATGAATAATTTGAAATAAAATTTATCTTTAAAAAGAGAAAAGAAAAAAAAGACAACAATAATCCTGGAGGTGTGGCTCACCAGTAGAAGACTTGCCTAGAATCCCCCAGTGAGGGGCTGGGGTATGGCTCAGTGGTAGAGCCCCTGCCTAGAATCCCCCAGTGAGGGGCTGGGGTGTGGCTCAATCCTGGAAGGATTACCTACCTCCTAAGAGTTTTGGGTTCAACCTCCAGCACTTGGGTTGGGTGATTGATGCCGGGGAGTAGGACCTGCTTTAATTGACACCCTGAGCGTCTGTCACGGAATTCTGACCCAGCAGCATGTGCCATGCGTTGTGCCCACTGTCCCCTCTCCTGTCAGCTTTCAGCAGCGAGTGGAGCGGTTCCACGAGAACCCAGGGATCCGAGAACTGCCCTCTGAAACCTACATCAGTAGGACTATCTCGCTGGTCAACTGTGGGCCCCCCCTGAGGTGAGAACACCCATGGGGACAGAGTGTGGGAGGCTTGGGTGACACCTGAACTGAGCAAGTAGGTCTCTGGGTGGGTGTCAATGAGCTTAGGGGCCGGGAGCACAGACATGCAACCTCAGAGGCATCGGATCTGGGGGATGCCTGGACTGCAGCATCCATCTATACAAGGGGAATATTGATGTGTTAGAATTGGAGAAATAGGGGGCTGGAGAGACGGCTCAGAGGTTAAAAGCACAAGCTGCTCTTCCAGAGGCCCTGAGTTCAATTCGCAGCACCCATATGGTGGCCCACAACCATCTGTAATGAGATCTGGTGCCCTCTTCTGGTGTGCAGACATACATGCAGGCAGAACACTGTGTACATAAAAAAAAAAAAAGAATTGGAGAATTATAGTGGCTATAGTCAAAGAAAGAAGGCCTGAGTTTGGATTCCCAGAAGTCACTGAAACTCTTTTCTCAAAAAATAAGGTGGAGGCTGGAGAGATGGCTCAGAGGTTAAGAACACTGGTTGTTCTTCCATAGGACTAAAGTTCGATTCCCAGCACCCATTCTATCAGGCTCACAACTATGTGTAGTTCCAGCTCCAACGGATCTGATGCCCTCTTCTGGCCTCCAAGGGCTACAGACACAAAAGTGGTACAGTGATATACTTGCAGGCAAAAACCCATAACACATTTAAAAAAATAATATTAAATAACTGATGATGACACCTAACTGTAGATGGAGTTTTCCCATCCCAGGAGCAGCATTCAAATACCACACAGAGGCTTGTATTAATTACAAATGCTCGGCCAATAGCTCAGGCTTATTACTAACTAGCACTTACATTTTAAGTTAACTGGTATTCTGTATTTATGCTCTACCATGAGGTGGTACCTTTATTAATATGGCACTTTCATCTCCTGAGCCTTGGCATCTGGATGGTGACCCCAGATTCCACCCTTCTCTTTCCCAGCATTCTCAATTTGACTTTCCTGTCTAGATTTACCCTGTTCAGCTATTGGTCAGTCAACTTGTTTATTAAACCAATCACAGCGACATATATTCACACAGTGTAAAGGAATATTCCACAGCCCATGATTTTTACCTGTGGCCCCCACATGTGCATGCAAAGGAACTTTTCTTTTTATTAATTTACTTTATATTGCATTTACTTTTTGAGACAGGGTTTCTCTATAGCTCTGACTGTTCTGGAATTTACGGTGTAGACATAGACCAGGCAGGCTTTGAACTCACAGAGGTCTGCTCTCCTCCATCTCCAGAGTGTTGGGATTGAAGCGGTGTGCCACCATGCCAGGCCATATATAATTTTTAAAATTTTACTTATTGATTGGGCTTTTAGCACAGGGTCTCATGTATCCCTGAAAACAAACTTAAATTTCTGATCCTCCTGCGCCTGCGTCCCGCGTGCTGGGAGTTCAGGCGAGCGTGGCCATCGCAGGCTTTGTTGCTTTATTGTCGCTACTGGGATGAAACCCAGCATCTCCAGCCTGCTTACTGCACTACCACCAAGCTGCACCTCTCAGGTGGCTTTTATAAAACTGGGAGTTCAATTCAATGAGGGAGATGGCTCAGTGGCGAAAACAGATTGAGTTTCATCCCTGGGGCCCACATGGTGGGAGGAGAAAACTGACTCTCAAGGTGTCCTCTGACCTCCACACGTGCACTGTGGCAGGCATGCCCCCATAAATAAAATAATAAATAATGGTGATAATGATCCTCCTTACCACCACAGTCTGGCCGTTTGTGAGAAATCCATACCATTAGTATCATCTGCACATACTGACAGGTATTTGAACAATTACCAATGCACTCAACAAGACAGCTGGGTGTGGTGGTGCATGACTTTAGTCCCAGCAGTTGGGAGACAGAGGCAGGTGAATCTCTGAGTTCTAGGCCAGCCAGGGCTACACAGAGACACCCTGTCTCAGTTCTAGAGATGGTAGGACCTGGGAGAGTGGAGCCGATGAATGAGGTGGGAATAGCTGACTTTATTCAGCATCAGACAGTCTGTACTCTGGCGGTAGGAGGAGTCACGTGTAAAGTGTCCAAATCGCAAGGACAAGCCACGCATGGCAGACAAGCCACACGCAACAAAAGCGTGTTTTTCCATCGAGATACATAAACAAATATCAGTAGCCATGGCGACGGCTGATCTGAAACAGACTCTCTCCTACCCACTATGCCTGGGAAGAGCAGGGAAGCAGGAGCAATTCCGTGGATTTTGAAGAAACTCAGGTCACAGACTCTGGTCTTGGCTTCTTAGGGTTTTCTCACAAGCTCGCAGACTTCTCTTCACAGGGCTCTCTTCTTGACCTGTGTTCTGACAGTGTCTGGATTGGTCCTTTTCTGTTGTTCTCATTGATGGTGATCTAATCCAAGACCTAGCAGGCTAGGCAGGAGTTTTATCCTTGAACTGGATGGACTTTTAGTCTTTTGTTTGTTTGTTTCTGAGACAGGGTTTCTCTGTGTAGCCCTGGCTGTCTTGGAACTCACTCTGTAGACCAGGCTGGACTTGAACTCAGAGATCCGCCTGCCTCTGCCTTCTGAGTGCTGGGATTAAAGGTGTGCGCCACCACTGCCCTGCTCTCTTTCTGTCTTTTTAAAAAGATTTATTCTCCGTGTGTGTGCATGCGTATGTGTGCTTGTTTGTACATGAATACAGTCCTCTCAGAGGTCAGAAGAGGTTGTGATGTCCTATGGAGTTATGGATGGTTGTCAGCTGGCTTGTGGGTGCTGGGATCTGAACCTGGGTCCTTTTAAGCACTGAGCCACCTCTCCAGCCCCATTCAAGCGAGTCTTAAAGTTACTCTGCAGCCCCGGCTGGCTTTGAACTTTATATCCCCACTGCCTCAGCTTCCTCCATCACTGGGATCATAGACCTGCTACCCCAGACCCTGCTGGTTCTGGCAGGGGCACTCAGATGCTGGAAGGTTGGACTCTGAGCCCTGTTGATTCCCACAGGTCTCTGGCTGAGCGACTGGCCAGGGTGGGGCCCCCTGAAAGTGAGCCGGCCCGGGAAGCTTCGGCCATCGCTTTGGACCGTGTGACCCGACTCTGCCATCGTGTCCTTGCTGAGTTGTTATTCCAGGAACTACAGGTGAGTGTGAGGGGGTGGGGCAGCTCCAGGATGGATTGGCATTGCCCCCAAACCCCACAGTTCCTTCTAACCCATGATTCAGTGTTCGGGGAAACAGGGAGGGCTGGGGGTGATGCCATGTTGGAACTGTTTGGGGGGGGTGAAGGGAGCATAGGAAGGAAGAGGTAGGAGGATGTGGCAGAATGGGGTGGGCAGAGCTGCCAGCAAAAGAGGGCTTATGTAGTACTTTCCCTACTGAGGTCCCCCAAAGCCATGCCTCTTTATGGCCCAGAGCCTCTTTAAATGTCGTGAGGGGGTGAGGTAGTAAGTGGGTTAGGTCCTGTGTTGTGGACCACAGGGAGGCAAAGAGCCATTCAGTAGCAGTATAAAGGGACCCTACACACTCTTTCTATGCTCAGAATTCAGCCTGGACTCCCAGATCCCCGATAGAAAAAGCCAGGAGCCTCGCTGTGCCCCAGGTCCCCTGATCAGCTATTCTAGGACCTCATATCCTCCCACCTCCAAGACTCCTTTCCACTCACACAGTAATACCCACTCCTTAATGCTTTCCTGCCTCGGGCCCTGGGCCTTTCTGTTCTCTCTACTCAGATGCTCCTCCTCCCTTAGCCCCATGGCTTGCCCTCCTCCCTTCTTTCAAATCTTTTTATTTATTTGTTTACTTGTTCATTTTGATTTTTCGAGACACAGTTTCTCTGTGTAGTTCTGACTGTTCTAGAACTCGTTGTACACCAGGCTGGCCTCAAACTCACATAGCTCCACCTACCTCTGCCTCCCTAGTGCCGAGATTAGTTTGCACCACCACTGACCAGCTTCTTTCATTCTTAGGCAGATGTTCCCTGATCATTCCCACTTAAAATACAGTCTCTAGGGGGCTGGAGAGATGGCTCGGCTGTTAAGAGCATTGCCTGCTCTTCCAAAGGTCCTGAGTTCAATTCCCAGCAACCACATGGTGGATCACAACCATCTGTAATGAGGTCTGGTGCCCTCTTCTGGCCTGCAGGCATACGTGTAGAAAGAATATTGTATACATAATAAATAAATAAATATTAAAAAAATAAAATAAAATACAGTCACTAGGACTGGAGAGATGGCTCAGTGGTTAAGTGTACTGGCTGTTCTTCAGAAGGACCTAGGTTCAATTCCCAGCACCCACATGGGAGCTTTCCAAATCCAGGTACTCTGACACCCTCACACAGCCAAATGCGCACATAAAATAAAAATCAATAATTTAAATATTTTAAAAACATAGTACCTTGGGCCCACGAACTGTGGTGGCACATGCCCTTAATCCCAGCATTCTGGAGGCATTCTGAGGCCAGGCAGGTCTGCACAGTGAGTTCTGGGGCAGCCAGAGTTACAGAGTGAGAACCCGTCTCAATAAAAATCAAATAAAATACGACAAGACAATGACTGGACCCAGACTGCTGCGTGTACCAGCTCACACCTGTACCTCCAGCTAGTAGGAGTGCTGAGGCAGGAGGATCCCTTGAGCCTAGGAGTTCAGAGTCAACGTGTCCAGGGGAGTTCTACCCACATCTGTTGCAGGAGGAGGAAGAGTAGGGGTCCTGGAGAATTCTAGCACTGATTCCCTGTTGCTTCCTCTCCCAAAGCCACTTACTGCAGCCAGATGTGCCAGGGCTTTGCTTTCCTGCCCCTTTAAGGAGCTGGGGACCAAGCTCAGCACTTCCCATACTAGGCAGGGGCTCTACCACTGAGCCACACCCCAGCCCCTCACTGGGGGATTCTAGGCAGGGGCTCTACCACTGAGCCACTTCTCCAACTCTCCTCCCACTGAATCCCTTATTTTGTTTGTTTGTTTTAGATATAGTCTCTCTATAATGCCAGGCTGGGTTGGAACTCACAGAAATCTACCTGCCTCTGCACCTTCAGGGTGGGATTAAAGGTGGGGGGCATTGGGACAGGGTTTCTGTAGCTCTGGCTAGCTAGTATTCACTATGTAGTCCAGGTTGGCCTCAAATTCCCAAGACCTCCTGGTTCACCCTTCCCAATACCAGGCTTCCAGTCACGAGTCTCCATGCCCAGAGAAGCCTGTGGTTTTGAGATGCACAGTTAGAGGCATAGGAAGGTCTGAGAAAGCTGGTAGATGAGAGAGGAAGGGAAGGAGTTTGGGAGGAACAACTGTCATGGGGCCACAGAAGAGGGACAGCTGAAAGGGAGATTCACAAAGTCAGAGCTGCCATGAATATTCAATCTGTACCCTGGTAGCGTTGTGCTCAATACTGGTAACTGTGTGTGTGTGTGTGTGTGTGCCTGTGTGTGTATGCATGCATATATGTATGTGTGTATATATGTATGTGTGTTAGTTTGTATGTGTATATATAAGTGTATGTGTGAGTGTATGTATCTGCATGCATGTATATGTATGCATGTATATATGTGTGTTTAAGTATGTGTGACTGTGTGAGTGTATGTATGTGCATGTGTGTACATATGTGTGTATGTATCTACATGTGTGTATATGTATGTGTGTGTGTATATATATATATATGAGGGGTGCATACACAAATGCTGGTGTATGCCAAGCAGGGTGGGGACCTGACCCTCTCCCTTCCCTACATACAACCTCCCACAAGTCCCCTGTTGCTGCAAGGGAAAGCTGACCCTCTTCACATCCCAGGAGACCTTGTTTGCTCCAGCCCTGCCCAATGGACCAGACACAACCATTAAGTGTCTCTCCATCACGCACTGAGAATAGCCACCAGGGAATCACACGGCTCGCAGCACACACTCACCAGAGGCGAGTGAGGCCTAATTCTCTCTGGATGCTTTCTTCAAAGCCTCAGTCAGCACATTTTCACAGTCTGGAGACTTGAGAAGCCGAGGCAGGAGCATCCCAAGATGGAGACTAGCCTGAGCTGCACAATAAGACCCTGTTCCAAAATTAAACATAGAAAGTTATAGTGGTATCTGCCTGTGACCTCGGGAGATGGAGGCAGGAGGATCAGAAACTCAGGGTTATCCTCCACTACTTAGAGTTGGGGGTTAGCCTGAGGTTCATGAGACTGTCTGAAAATGATTAAACTACTATTCTGACGGAGCAATTGAACTGATAATAATGATGATAAAGCCTGACGTGGTGACGCACACCTGTAATCCCAGCACTTGAGAGGCAGAGGCAGGTGGATTTCTGAATTTGAGGCCAGCCTGATCTACAGAGGGAATTCCAGACAGCTGGAGCTACACAGAGAAACCCTGTCTCAAAAAACCAAGCCAGGCGATGGTGGCGCACGCCTTTAATCCTAGCACTCGGGAGGCAGAGGCAGGCGGATCTCTGTGAGTTCGAGACCAGTCTAGTCTACAGAGCTAGTTCCAGGACACGCTCCAAAGCCACAGAGAAACCCTGTCTCGAAAAACAAAACAAACAAACAAACAAACAAAAAACCAGAGTTTTACTATATCTGGAACTCCCTGTGTAGACCAGGCTGGCCTAGAATTCAGAGATTCTTCCAGAGTACTGGGATTAAAGGCATGTACCACCACACCCAGCTATGGGTTCCCAGTTTTCATGTTGCTGAAAATGATTAAAATGGCATCTCTAGCCACGTCTCACAAGCTCGTGGCTATTCGAATCCCGCACCTTTCAGGACACTTCTTCCCCCCTCTTCAGCCTGTCTCACGACCTCTGAGCGTGGGTTTTCCTCTCCAGGAAGCCATTTTTGAAACTGTGCTGGCTAGCTCTAAGTCCCAGCAAGGCAACAAGGCTCCTCACCAATATGTCCAAAATCACCACACAGCCTTTGTTCTTTCCTTGGGGAGAGTTGAAATGAAGTGGTCCTAGCCGGGAGTGGAGGCACTCACCAGTAATCCCAGTATTTGGGAGATGGGGGCCAGGAGATCAAGAGTTCAAGGCCAGCCCGTGCGCTGTGCGTCAAAAGGATAAGAAGTTTTGCCTAGGAGAGATGGGGGGCGGGAGGAAGCTGTAACCCGCCCTTCCACACTGTCCTACCCAGCCGCACTTCAACAAACTGATGCGCAGGAAGTGGCTGAGCAGCTCTGAGGCTCTGGATGGCATCGTGGGCACACTGGGCGCCCAGGCCCTGGCCCTGCGCAGAATGCAGGATGATCCTTACCAGGTGTGTTGACCCGAATGCTCTCCTTCTGGGGGAGACCCTAGCAAGTGGGGTGTCAGTTGTCTGGTGGCACCTCGAATATCTGGGGGATGCAGATGGGAGACGTGCCCCCTGGAAACTAAGGTGCAGGGACCGGTGGGGTCCTCTGCAAGGGAAACTGTGGGGAGCCTGGGGTGGGGCATGTTTTAGGGAGAATGGTGTGTGTCATATCTGATTAAGGGTCTGATAGGATGAGGAAACCCGGAGAGGGCCTGAGTGTAGAGGGGCTGGGCACTCCGAGAGAACGGGCGGGTTCCCATCGGATGTCATGAGTGTTCTGTCTGGGTACGCAGAGCGTGGAACCGGGGTGCCTCATGAACCTGCTGGGTTGGAGCATATAGATAGCTTCCCGGTCTCTCGCTGTCCCCAGGTGCTGGTGGCCGAACTGCACCGCCGGGCGCTCGTGGAGTATGTGCGGCCACTGCTGCGCGGGCGCCTGCGGTGTCGCTCTGCGAGGACCCGCAGTCGAGTGGCCGGGAGGCTCCGTGAGGACGCAGCGCAGCTGCAGCGGCTGTTTCGCAGGCTGGTGAGTGCCAGGCTGGGTTGGGAAAACCTGAGGCGCGGAGTGGGGGTGGGGCTGCTTGGCTCCCAAAGCAGGATGAGGGGAGGCTCTGGGAAAGGGACCCTCAACAGAAACCGGGTTCATGATGGTGCATACCTGCCACCCAGCATTAGGGAGGCTGAGACAGGAGGACTGCAAATTTATGGCCAGAAAAACACCCCAAAACGGGGGGGCGGGGCGGAGACTGGAGAGATGGTTTAGGGTTAAGAGCCCTGGTTACTTCTCCAGAGAACTCGAGTTCTATTCCCAGCACCCACACCGCAGCTCTCAATCGCCTGTAGCTCATCCAACACTACATTCTGGCTTCTGGGGCTCCAGGCATCCACACGGTGCAGAAAGAACACCGCTCCATAGAAAATAATTTTTGCTTTGTTTTGTTTTTGAGATGGTCTCTCTATGCACTCCTGGATGCCCTGGAGTTTGCTATGTAAACCAAATTTGCCTCAAACTCACAGAGCTCTTCTTGCCTCTGCCTCCTGAGTGCTGGCATTAAAGGTGTGCAGCTACTATGCCTGGCTAAGAGAGTTTCTTTAAAAAAAAAAAAAAGATATACTGGGTATGAACCCTGTCATAACAGCACTGTGAAGGATGAGCCAGGAGGGTCATGATTTAGAGGCCACCCAGGTCGGCCAAGGCTATGTAGTGAGACCTTGTCTCAAAAAAATAAAACAAAACACCTCTGAATTCAAGTGTCACTAAAGCCAAGAATTTGAAGTCCCAAATCTTAGGTGTCTGCAGTTGTCGTGGGGGGACTGGGAGAGGGGCCAAGGAGCTCCACAGCTGCTGCCTGTGTCCTTGGGAGTTTGTGTTTAGTTTCATTTATTGAAACATTTTCAAGATAATTGTGTGGGCTTGCAGGCGGTCCCGGGAAAGAGGACAGAGTACTCCCTGGGGACATTTTTGCAGCATTCTCTATATGGTAACATTTTTGCACTCTTCCCTCTGGGTGACAGTGTCTAAGATACAACCTTGCATATGCTGGCCCTCAACCCCCCATTTGGAATAGTTCTAGTTTATGCTCCCCTCCCCCATGAGGAGTTGACACTGGGCCTCAGTTTACCACACAGCTATATCTACTTGATCCTGTCTCTTGAGATGGCCTCTGGCTATACAGCCCCAATCCACCCACCCACCCTCCCACCTAGTGCTGGTGGTTTCTTGTTGTTATTGTTGGTTGGTTGGTTTTGGAGTCTCCTGCAACTGAGACTGGCCTCAAACTCCTTATGGCTGAAGATGACTTTGAACTCCAGACCCTCCTGCCTCTGCATCCCACATGCTGGAATTATAGGTATTTGCCATCAAACCTGGTTAGGTCTTTTTGTTTTGTTTTGAGACAGGTTTCTCTATGTAGCCCTGACTGTCTGGGAGTGTAGATCAAGCTGGACTTGAACTCACAAAGATCTTCATGGCTCTACCTCTCAAGTGCTGGGACTAAAGCACTGTGTCACTCTGGCTGGCAGGGTTTTTATTTTATTTTGTTTGTTTGGTCATTTGTTTGTTTGGTTTGGTTTTTCGAGACAGGGTTTCATTGTGTAGCACTGGCTGTCCTGGAACTCTCTCTGTAAACCAGGCTGGACTCGAACTCACAGAGATCCATCTGCTGCTGCCTCCTAAGTGCTGGATTTAAAGGCATGCTCCACCACTGCCCCGCCAACTGGCAGGTTTTAAATCATGTTACCCAACCCCGGATTCATATAAGCAAAGGTTCTAGCTAACCGCTGGCCAGAGTCTGCCGTCTGAGCCCTTTGGGGAAGAGCCTAGGTAGGAGCAGGGCTCAGCACGAACAGGGTACTAGGTGTTTGCTTTGGGTGACCCTGGAGCCCTTGTCCCCGCAGGAATCCCAGGCTTCCTGGCTCGACCAGGTGGTGCCGCATTTGGCCGAGATCCTGCAGTTGGAGGACACTCCGAGCATTCAGGTGGAGGTTGGGGTGCTGGTGCGCGACTACCCAGACATCAGGTGAGATGCCGCCAGGCCCGGGTCTACTTGGCATCCGTCCCAGCGTTTCCTGGCCCGCGCCAAGGCAGGGTGGCGGCGAGCGTGTCTGACGGCCGTTTCCTGCTGGAACCAGGGCATTCTTAATACGATTTCCCTCCTTCGGCCGCCACCAGTGCTCACAAACAAACAAGCGGCCACAGGAAGCCCAGGGCAAGGGGGGCGCAGGCCGCCCGGCGGCAGGAAGGGCTGGCCGTGCAGGGAACCGCCGGGGACACGGGGGACACACGGGCATGCGGGCGCACACTCGGGGGGACAGCAACGGGCACGTCCGAATCTAGGTGGGCCTACTTCCTTTTTAATGGGACCTTCCTTGAGTCTCATTCTCCTTGTCTGCTGCCCAGGAATGGTAAAACCCTATTTGTGGACTGGTTGCAGGAATTACCCCGTCATCGTCCTCATTATCTAGGACAGTCCAGCCGGGTGTGGTGGCTCACGCCTTTAGTCCCAGTGCTCTGAAGGCAGAGATTAGGTGGATCTCTTGTTTTTGAGACCAGCCTGGTCTGCTGAGTGAGAATTGAACTCCAGCCTTCAGGCTTGGCAGCTGGTGCCTTGAGACACCTTGCCAGACCTAAATTAGGGCTTGTTTTGAGGCAGCCTGGGGTTGGTTTCCAGTGTGTGGCAATCCTCCTGCCTCACGGCTGGGCTCACAGGTGCTATCTATCATACCAGTTTAGGAGGTTTGTTTTTGGCTCAGTGAGGTAGAGTTGAGACCACAGCTCAGATTTAGGATGGGGGCTTACAGAAGAGAGTTTTGAGCTCAAAGATGACTTGAGCGTGAATTGTAGCCCTGCTACAGAGTTTTCAGAGGTGCCCCACTTGGGGAATATGTTAGTGAAGTGAGCATTCTGGGGGATGAAAGTTCTGGAATGATCTACATGAAGAGACAGTGACTTGAAGTTTGGCTGTCTGTGGTGGGGAAGTTTCCAAACCTGCAGAAAGGGGGTGGGAATGTAACAGGGTGAACCTCCTAGGCTGAGTGAGGAAAGAGATGAAGGCACCAAGTGAGTACACCTGAGCCAGGCAGGACATGGCAGCACAGCTGTGTAAACCGAGAGGAGAGCATCATCAGGTCAAGGCAAACCTGGACAATTTGATGAGACGCTATCTGAAAATAAAACCTAAAAAGTAGGCTAGAGATGCAGTTCAGTGGTAGAGCCCCTGCCTAGAATCCCCCAGTGAGGGCTGGGGTGTGGCTCAGTGGTAGAGCCCCTGCCTAGAATCCCCCAGTGAGGGGCTGGGTTGTGACTCAGCAGTAGAGCCCCTGCTTAGACCCCTCCAGGTGTGAGATCTTGCTTCAATCTCCATTACGGTAAAAATTCTTTTAAAGAGGAGACTTCTGAGGTAAATTATAGTGAAGACTGAAGACTGAAAACTAAATTAATGGGATTAGAGACGTTGGACAAAAAGACTTTACTACTGAGTTTGGAGGTGAGAGTTCTGGAAGATTCTACATGGAAAATTTGGAAGTGGCTGCAGGAGATTGGAACAAGAGATGGTACAGGAAATGAGACAGAGTTCAAGAGGGTGCACCGATGGGCTGGGTACCTGTCAGGCTCCCAGGACACTCCAGTGAGATCTCTGTGTTCCTCTCTCGCCAGGCGGAAGCATGTGGCAGCCCTCCTGGACATCAGAGGACTTCGGAACACAGCTGCCCGCCAGGAGATTCTGGCGGTGGCCCGGGACCTGGAACTATCTGAAGGTGGTACCCTATCACCAGCTCGGGACCGCGCCTTCTTTGCTGACATTCCGGTGCCCCGCTCATCCTTCTGCCTCGGCCTCCCTCTCTTCTTGGGGCGCCTCCCTCTCTCCCGGCTGGCCAGGCCCAGTCTGGCTTGTCTGCCCCTGCGGCCTCGTCCTCCATCGTCAGTTAGAGCCCGAGCCCAACGCTGAGGCTCCTGGTGCCCACGTTGCTGCGGAGATACCCTCCTCCCTTCCACGTGACTCCTTGCCTGAGACACAGACCTCCGGGATGGCAGGTGCCTTAGATCTCCCACCCAGCCCGGAGTGTCCCCTCTAGAAGGGAAAAAACAGAGGCCAGGATGAGTAAAGAGTTCCCCAAGGCTGCCGAGGTCATTCCCAGCACCCTCCTCCCCCATAGCCCAGCATGGTGGAGAGCCTTCTGGAAGGCTCTACACAAATATCCCCGCCCACCTCCTTTCCCCTCACCTCAAGGTCTGGCCCCAATCCAACGTACTAAGGAACGGTAGATACTTAGAATAAAGAGGTTTCTATTTAACACTAGGAAGGGCTGAGTCCCAAGTGCAGGGGAGGGAGGACAGGGACCAGGGCCAAGCACTCTTTGCACACACCCAAGGCCACCAGGGCTGGGGTCCAACTCCTGGGGAGGACAGCTGAACGTGGACAGAAGCCGAAGGAGGCCAGACACTGCCCAATTGCCCGTTGATACTGAGTCCTTGCTCCGTGTGGCTCTGAGGCAGCCACTTGACCGCTCTGAACCATACACCACTAGTTTATTTACCGCAGTGTCTGCCGTCGTTCTGGATTTGCGGCTGCCACCTTGGCACGGCCCTCCCTGTCCATGCTTAGTGGGGGAACCTGGTCCAGAGAGGAAGGAGCTGGGGGGTTGGGCCGGCGGCATCCAGGGCGCCCTCCTGGGTTGATTCAGGAAAAGTCTCAGGGTGGGAAGTTTCCAGCCTCTCAGGCTGGAGCCCAGCCGGATCCCAGTCCCCACAGAATCCTTGAGGTCATCTCCCTGCTGACCTCTGCCCCTCCGGCCTCAGCTGGACAGCTTGTGATGGATGCTTCCTGGCCTGGGTTGGGTTTTATTTTATTTTTTTTCCCTGAGAAGTCAGAAAGAGGAGGCAGCCAGGGGTCAGCACAGGGGCCGGGGTTGGAACCTCACGCACGTCTGGACATTGGCAACAACATGGGGGCTCTAGACTCTGAGAGCCTCCCGGCTGTGTGCTTCAGAGGGGAAGCTGTTAGTCTCTGGGCTGTACTTCCTGTCTCTCCTGGGAAATTGCTTAACTTCTCTCTGCCCAGGCCTCCTTAAGAGGCCCAGAGGATGGCCCTCCTCCTTCCTTGACCTTCTGAAAGTGACACCTCAATGTCATTGACGTTCAGGAGAGGGGAACTGACTGGGGCAGTCTGTTGCGTTGGTGGCCGCTTGCATAATTACACATGTATTTAATCTGTGTGTGGTCACGTTTCGTCATTTTCTGACTTGATAACCCATCGTTCAAACGCGGCCTTCCTTGTCTTCATGCTCGCGGACAGCAGGACGGTGATCCTAGCAGACTGGGTTCTGAGAAAAAAAAAAAAAAAAAAAACAGAAGGGGCCAGACTGGGCTGCATCTAAAGACCACATCCCACAAAATGGGGTGGGTTTAGTGAGTTGGCTTAGTGGGTATAGGTGCCTGCCACCAAGCTTAACAGACTGAGTTTGAGCCTCTAGAACCACATGGTAGAGAAAACGTACATATACATACATACATACACACAAATGCACACGCGTGCACACATGCACAAATATAACAAGTGGAATGTAGACTCCCACTTCTCTTTTGGGTTAAGGTCTCACTGTATAACCCTGGCTGGCCTTAAACTCACAGAGATCCACCTGCATGTGCCTCCCAAGTGGGTTAAAAGTGTACGCCACCATGCCTGGCTATTTTGAGACAAGATCCTGCCTATAGTCTAAACTAGCCTAACTCTCAATTCTCCTGTGTCAGGCTTCTGACTGCTGGGATTAGGGACATGAACTGTCCTTGTTTTGTTGTTGTTGATATAGGGTTTCTCTGTGTATATCTGGCTGTCCTGGAAGTCACTCTGTAGACCAGGCTGGCCTCGAACTCACAGAGATCCACCTGCCTCTGCCTCCCTGAGTGCTGGGTTAAAGGCATGTGCCATACCACCCAGTGGTTTATTATGGTGTTGTTGTTTTGAGACAGCTCTGTATGTACCCATGGCTGGCCTGAAACTCAGCAGCCACCGTCTGGTAAGCCCAGCTCTGAATGACACCTGGGACACTGCGCTCAAAGTTTAAACCACCTACATGTCCAGTAACGGACACTGGGGTGCACAGATGGGCCATGCAGTGCCATTTGTCAATAAGAAGCATGACAACCCAGCGGTGGGCACAGTGGCACGTGTTTAATACTCAGCTTGGGATGTTGCTGCAGGAGGATCATGATTGGAGGCCAACCTGATCTACATGAATTCCAAGTCAGCCTGGGCTACAAAGCTAGACCTTGTCTCAAAACAGTGAAAGGGTGGGCTGGGGAGAAGGCTGGGGGTTAAAGGCCTTTGCCACTCTTCCAGATCAGACTTAGTTCCCATACATTGGGCAGCTCTCTCTCTCTCTCTCTACCTGTAATTCCAGCTCAGGGAGGTTCGGTGTCTCTGGCATCCTCAGACACCCAGACTGATGTAAACACTTACTCACATACTTACCCACAAACAGATACGTAATTATAAATGAATGGATGAATCAAACCTGGCTGGAAAGATGGCTTAGCAGTCAAGAGAAATTGTTGCGCTTCCAGAAGACCTGGGTTCAGTTCCCAGCACCCACATGGTGGCTCAAAACTGCCTGTAACTCCAGTTCCAGGGGGCCTGATGCCACCTTCTAACCTCCAGACAGCAGGCATGCATGTGGTGCATGTACATACTTGCTGGCCAAACACATAAAGCAAATAAAGAGAGAGCAAGCCTTGGTGTCAGATGCGATTCAGAGCAGCCTTGAAGATGGCACAGGCAGAGAGGGGACCGGATGAAGCTGGGTACAGAGTGGGTTTTCACTCAGATGTACCAACCACTGCCAGGAGCAGGGATAGAAGAGGGAAGACTTTGTGACGGGGTTTGGGATCACAGCCATTCATTCCATCCACAAACTGGAGCCAGGATCCAAAGACAGGATGCCAAAAGCTGAGATGAGAGGCCGGAGTTGAAAGCCAGCTTGGGGTATGTAGTGACATCTCATCGCAAAGAAGCAAGTCAAGGGTGTAATTCAGTGGCTACACCTCAGATTTCCCAGTGAGAGACTGGGGTGTGGCCCAGTGGTAGAGCCCCTGCCTAGAATCCCCCAGTGAGGGGCTGGGGTGTGGCTCAGTGGTAGAGCCCCTGCCTAGAATCCCCAGTGAGGGGCTGGGGTGTGGCTCAGTGGTAGAGAACTCGCATAACATCAAGATTTTTGGAGGAATCACAACACAAAGGGTACAGTGGGGTTCGCTGTAGCCCCCAGGGAATATTGTGTATGGAATTAAAGACTGGAGACCAGAGACTGGTGAGTTGCTCAGCACGTAATAGCACTAGCACCAAGTTCTTACAACATGAGCTTGATCCTCGGAAATTACAGGGCAGGAGGAGATAGCTCTTACCAGTTGTCCACTGACCTTTGGTTCCATCTGTTGGAGCAGCTAACAAACCAAACTACTACCATATTCAGGAGCTAGGCTGGGCAGACACAAAACACCCCACGGCTGGGTCTGCTGACTGTTGGCCTTCTTGCAGAAGACAGGTTAATGGGGCCCTGCCCTGGGTGTCTGGCAACCTCTCCCAGCCATCTAACTACAATTCTACCCTAAATGCATGTGGTATCTGGCTGGAACGGAGCGTGGACATGGTGGGGGGCAGGCTTCATCATCCCTGCTGGGTACAGACCTTCCAGTGTGGCTGCCTGTGGCCCCTCATCCCTTCTCTATGAGGAAATCTAGCAAATCCTCTGGTTCCTAGGTGAATAAGCCTCAGTTTGTCTGGGGACCTTGGGAGGAAGTGGACGTTGTTTCCAGCTCCCCAAAGGAAGAGATTTTAGAAACACTTCCACATGTATGCATGCACTAGATAAGTAAACAAACAAATACATATTTAAAAAAATTGGAAGTGACCTTTTTGTTCTGATCTAGAATATTCCCCAAATTCCCTGTTCGTGAGGAGGTGAGTATGTCATCTTCCCTACCTGCAGAACCCTAAAGACAGTCCCTGATGTGTGCTCACGTGCCCCAGAGCTCACACGGAAGGAGGAGATGCTCCACCCTTCAGGTCTGTAAGCTTAGGAATATGCTGCATGTAGAATCACCCATTGGTGTTCCGTACTCAGCTGAGGCTGGTCTTGAACTTCTCACCCCCTGCCTCAGCCTTCCATGGGGATTATAACCATTCACCTCAAAGCCTTGTTCTTTTCTCTCTTTCTTTTTATATTTATTTATTCCTTATGTGTCGTGTGCAAATGTCTGAGATCAGAGCCAATGTGTCTTCTTTTGGCACATGGGTTCCTGGAAGCTAACTCTGAGCATCAGGTTTGGCTGCAAATGCCGTTGCCCACGGAGCCCTCTCACTACCCCCCCATTCCTATTTTCTTTCTCATTTTAGTTTTATATAATTTCTATTTTTTAGCTTCCTTTTTTTGACCTCTGGGCTATTTACTTTCCAAATACTTGTGGAGTTTTGAGATATCCACTTGATTTTCATTTCCGCTGTGGTTCGAGAAAATACTTTGTGATATTTCAATCTTATAAACAATAGCCACGACTTGCCTTTTGACCCAGCCTTCCAACCCTACCCTTTAAATATTTGTGTTAGATATTTGCTTATTTATTTGTGTGTGTCTTTGTGTGTGCACACACTCACACGAACATGTCTGTGCCACAGCACATGGAAGGTCAGAGGACAAGAGTCTGGTTCTCTAATCCATCGTGTGGGATCTAGAGGGCCAGCTCAGATCTGGCAGGAGGCTTTTCTTACTGAACCATCTGGATGACCCAATTTAAAAAAAAAAATAAAAAATTTGAAGCAGGAGATAAAATAGGATATTCAGACATACCAAAGTTTAGGAACATATCTTCAGTGACAGCTGATAGAATGTCGCAGGAAGGCCTGGGGCCAGAGGAAGAGCTACCAGCTGGGAATGTGGATTTCCACAGGGAGAATCATAAGCCAGTCTTCAGTCTTCGAATTAAGTTTCTCTCACACGACATTAACTATTCACCCAGAAACACGCACCTGGTATGGTGGTGCTGGACCATCTCCCCAGCACTTGCGGCTGGGCTGAGGCAGGGGAATGGCGTTGCTGGACCATCTCCCCAGCACTCGGGCAGAGGCAGGGGTAAGCGGGAGGTGCACACTAGGGAGGGACAGATCCTGAGCATGCAGACTGTGGCCTCAATTTCCTGAGGTCCCCATGCCCTGTGTGAATCAGTGCTGTGTCCACTGTGGGTCTTCTCTGAGGAGTAATAGATGGAGAAGGGCTTCTAGAATGTCAGAACTAAGGGCCCCAGTGGGTGAATCACCCATAAAGCCGGGCACTGGAGGACATCTGTAATCAGGAGTCCCTCGGTAAGACCGGGGGCGGAGACAGAATTCCCAGGAACTTTTGGGTAACTAGCCTGGTGTAGGCAACAGTGAACCAGAGACTCTGTCTCAAACAAGGTAGAAGGCAAGGACCCAAGGCTGTCCTCTGACCTCTACACAGGCACACACGCAGATGAACGCAATCACACACACATATATGCACACACACACTCACACAAGCACACACACATGCGCGTGCACACACACATATGCACACACACACAAGCACACACACATGTACGTGCACACACACAGATTTCTTTGTTTGCTTGTTTTTCAAGACGGAGTTTCTCTGTGTAGCCCTGGCTGTCCTAGAACTCCCTCTGAAGACCAAGCTGGCCTCAAACACACAGAGGTCTTCCTGCCTTTGTCTCCCGAGTGCTTGGATTAAAGGTGTGACCACCACTACCTGGCCACACAGTTTGTTTTTAAAAAGAGCCACAGGTATGAACCAGGTGAAAATACAACAGAATCATCACAAAGCCTACGTGAGGGCCAGGGTGAGGGCTCAGCAGGTACAGGAGCTCGCTGCCAAACCAAGCCAGATGACCTGAATTCAGTCTGGGGACCCATGTGACGGAACGAGAGAGCTGACTGCCACTGGGAGTCCTCTGAGCACCCTGTGCAGGTCGCAGCACATGTGCCCACACACATACAAGAAAAAAGACGCATGTAATTTAAAACTACAGGCGAACAAATGGGGGCTGCAGGGCTGGTTCCAGGGTAAGCCTGCTTGTTACTCTTTCGGAGGATCAGAGTTCGGTTCCCAAGACCCACATCAGCAAAGTCACATGTGACACCAGTGCCACCATGTCTGACACCCTCTTCTTGCCTCTGAGGCTACATACA